ATTTTGTAGAGTTGCACAAAAGGTTGATGACTGATGCCGCATTCATGTCTGAACATTAAAAATATTTATTGGTAAAATTCAAAGCAATTTGAGCAGTTACAAGTTTAACAAAGATATGAGTGATTTTTAATTGTTGCAAACTCGTAATTCTGAAATTACCTGAACACACCACATCTCCACTGCAGATCCTGTTTGAGGTAGCCAGTAATGAACACAATGAAAATGTTTTCTGTTGTATTTAGGCGAACTTGTCCTATCGTGTTTTATGCATCTTCTCACCCACTTCAGATGTTTATAGACAAAAGGAACCTGAACAATTTCTAGAACTACTAGAACTACCTCATATACCTGGAAAAAGTGACCCAATTTTTTTTTCTTAATTGTCAAATCCATATATGCAACCTGAATCTTCATATATCTGAAATTTTAATATTTAATGCATCAGTGTTAAATATACAGTATTCAGTTGTATTTATAGTATTTCTGCAGATATTTTGTCCTGTGATTGAGTCCTTCAACTGTAAATGGTTTGCATGATTCTGTGGTATCTGCACTATTGTTGATTCAGTAATATTTCCCCTTTGAAATATGTGAAAATTATGTAATTCGCATGATGCTCAATATGTTTTGTTGCCCAAAGCTTTGAGCAAAACAATAACTCTTATGACCAGCTTCTAGACCAGACCAAATTTTGGAGTTAATGTGCCATTTAAAATTAATTTTAGTCTCAAAATGCATGTAAGACTCAGGTTAGCATCTTTGAAGCTGAGAACATCCATTCAAATTGTAGAGTTCATTCATGTGTGTAATGAATTTGATCTACACATTAAAAACAAGAGTTTCATCATACATTGTTTTTATTTGGTTGTAGACGTCTTTGAATAACATTTGATTGGAAGAACATTTAGTTTTATTATTGGAATTAATTTAAATTATTATTCTAATGGAATATTTTAAGTTACTTTTGGTGCCACTCTTTCAAATGCAATAACTTGAATAAATAACTGGATTATCTAAATATATTTGATTTTGCTTATATATTTTTGTAGGGGAAGGGGTCGCTTATACCATCTTTTGTGAAATTGACATAAAAAACTTATGAAAGCTGTTGAAAATGGCAGATCTAATATTTGTATCGTTTATTTTTAGTGTATTGGTCACGATCTTGAATTTACAAAAATCTATAAATATGCTTCTCTTTTTGTGAATATGGCATTTAAAGCGGCAGTTGGTATTTCTGTGCCACTAGTGACGCCAAATGAAACTTCAGTCCGTTTGTTTGAGTGGTGTTGCATAGCAACAATAACTAAGTTCGGGGTGAGGGATGTTTGTCTGATCAATGATAAATAAGGAAATTTGTTTAAATAATCTTTTTATGCATACTGCAGTTTTAGCATTTAAGAATACCAACAGTATCAGTAGTTAAATGAATTGTGGTAACTAACCACTAAAGAAGCTGGAAACTGGTAACTCATTAGCCATGTTTCCCCTGATTTTTCATTAATCATAAAAAGCTTTGCACAATGGCCATTAGCATCAAGATTCACCAATACTAGATTAACTAGCATGGCCTATTATGACTGACAGCTTTAGCACATTTCTGTTAGCTAGCATTGTGGTTTTATTGATAATTTACTCAGGATATGTGGTGCTGCCACAAATCTAAAAGTGATGTCTATTTGTAATGTGTGTGTGTGTGCGTGTGTGTGCAGGTGTGCTAGTTCTATTTTGGTGTTGTCTAACATATTGTGTGTCTATGCTGTAGCAGTTTGTTTTTCTGAAGAAAAGGTAAGTGGTGTTTGCTCATGTAAAAGTCACCGGTATTATGCTAGGGTGGTTGCCATGGAGTTGCAACTTAGTTGTTTTTAGCACATTACTATGCAGTTGCTAGGGTGCTCTGTGTGGTTGCTAGGTGGTTTGCTTACTATCCTCAGTAAAGCATAGCCCACCACCAAGTCTCTATGATATCTTTGTCTCTAGATAAATCTTGAGATCCCCCTTCAATACAAATCTTTGAATTTTTTTTTTTTTCATCTTTGGCCTAGCTGGTCTTGATTAAGAAAATTGACAGGACACCTCAACAAATGACATGATTAGAATAATCCAGTTACTGAATGTTGTACACCCCATCAGTGATGCCTTAGTTTCTGCCATTACTGGGCCAGCTTAGCTGGCCAAGGTTTAGCTGGTTGGCATGGTAGCATCAGCTCCTGCTGGTAGATGCTGCAACTACACCAACTGCCTGCAAAAAGAGCAAAGACAGCTAATGCTAAGGTGCTAATGCTTCTTTAGAGATACAGTATCATGTTCATTACAATTCAGCAAATACTATATTATCCAATGTTTTTAAAAAGGGTTTCTTGTGCATGTTTTTTGTTCATTTGTGTATATTATTTAAGCTTTCTTCATTGCAGAGCATGTCCTAATTTCTGTGTTGACTGGCATTGACCCATCCACCAAATCATAAAATGGCCGCCATCAGAAGGACTGAGAGGATGTCCCTCCAAACCAAAAGTGGAAAAATTTAAGAGAAAGTGCTATATGGCCGTTAGAATCTTCTATCTAATAAAGCCAGTAAAAGTTAGCAACAGTATTGCATAAGCTAGAAAAACTCTAGTTGATTAGTACCACACTACTAGGCATGTCAAATGTGACCAGTATAAATAGTATGTCAAGAAAATACTACACTCAAATACTTAATTCTAAGCTACATGATATTCTATGGAAGCCCGTTTCCGCCACTGAATAAAAAATGAAAAAGGTAATTGCGACTTTTTATCTCACAATTCTGACTTTTTTTCTCATTATTGTGTGATATAAACTCGCAATTGCGAGATATAAACTCGCAATTCTGAGAAATAAAGTCAGAACTGAGATATAAACTCACAATTCTGACGTTTTTTCTCAGAATTGTGAGTTTATATCTCGCAATTCTGATGTTATAACACACAATTGTGAGTTATAAAGTCAGGATTGTGAGATATAAACTTTCAATTCTGAGAACATATCAGTCTTCCCCCCTCTCAAAATTGGACTTTAACTCACAATTGCGAGTTTATATCACGCAATTCTGACTTTATAACTCGCAATTGCGTGTTCTCAATTTTTACACTTTTTCACTTTGGTTTGGAGCAGAGCCGATCCTCCCTATACGCAAAATACGCAACATGAATGATTATTTCTTATAATGCGGTGCGCTGTTGCCCTTTCTACGTAAAAATCAATCAAATCATGTAATGTGAATGTCATACAGTCTTGCTCGAGACTAAAAAAACGAGTTGACAGCATACCGAGTCGCGGAAGAGACATTGTTTCTCAAACGCTTTCCACGATTCTAGACGGAGTGAAACACGGACAAATGTGTTTCATTCATTCGTTCATAACCACTCATATCCCACTCCACACCCCCCCCTCCACGACACAGTTTTGCATAGGGCCCCCAGAAGTCTAGGATCGGCACTGGTTTGGAGGGGCATCCTCTCAGTCCTTCTGATGGCGGCCATTTTATGATTTGGTGGATGGGTCAATGCCAGTCAACACAGAAATTAGGACATGTTCTGCAATGAAGAAAGCTTAAATAATATACACAAATGAACAAAAAACATGCACAAGAAACACTTTTTTTAAACATTGGATATTAAAAAAAGTCCGAATTGCGAGATATAAACTTTTGCAATCGCAAAAAGTCAGACTTTTGCAATCGCAAAAAGTCAGAATTGCGAGTTTTTATCTCGCAATTGTGACTTTATCACTCGCAATTGTGAGTTTATATCACGCAATTCTGAGAAAAAAGTCAGAATTGTGAGTTTATATCTCGCAATTCTGACTTTATAACTCGCAATTGCGAGTTTATATCTCACAATTCTGTGAAAAAAAAGTCAGAATTGTGAGTTTATATCTCGCAATTCTGACTTTATAACTCGCAATTGCGAGTTTATATCTCACAATTCTGTGAAAAAAAAGTCAGAATTGTGAGTTTATATCTCGCAATTCAGACTTTATAACTCGCAATTGCGAGTTTATATCTCACAATTCTGTGAAAAAAAAGTCAGAATTGTGAGATAATATCTCGCAATTCACAATTCTGTGAAAAAAAAGTCAGAATTGTGAGATAAAAAGTCGCAATAACCTTTTTTTTTTTTTTTTTTTTCAGTGGCGGAAACGGACTTCCATAATATTCCCTCTTGAAATGTCCAACTCCTGAACATAAAAACATTCTATTATCCAATAAATGTTTGCGTAAGGAAACAACATAGCAATGCTGTCATTAGCATTGCGGTTGCAACCAAATTGTTGAGGATAAATGATGCAATGGTAGTATGGCGTGCAGGTCTACAATTATCAATATGGAGGATATTTTGTTGTGCTTTATTTAGAAATCTATACAAATATTGGCTGAAGAGGTTGTTTTTGGGAAGTTTTATTTGCTGTTCAATGCTCATCATCTTGCTGAAAGCCGCCATGTTAACGTGACGTCATACAGCCACATTTCTGCAAAATATGTGAAAAACGTGCTTGGAAGTCCAACTTCTAGTGGTGTTCTTTTGTATTTTTCCAAGTACATAGTTGTAAATTCCAACATTCCTATCATTATTGTTAAGCATGTACTTCAATCCCATTTGTGGGGGTTGGGCTCCTGCTCGCCCATCCCCCACTGCCAAACTACAAATCCTGTAGGAATATAATCACCCTTTTGTGATATTTTTTATTAAATATATATTTACATATATTTTATACATATGTATATCAAGTTATTTATGACAGTTCGTGACTATATTAATATTAATACTATACAACAATGTTTAATAATTTAATGGTCTGTGGTCTGTTTTTTTTTTTTCCTTTTATGTTACATACATATTTCTGCACCATTGTCCACAACAACATGAAAATCTTCTTTTGCACTTAAACAATTTTTAACCTTAGCTAGCTATTTTCGCGATAGCTCCGCCCCTTCTTCCAGTCAGCCACTCCGAAACGCTCGCCCTCTGAAGCTTTGAGAGCCATTTTTGTTTCATGGCAGAGAGCTCGGCAGCTCTCATTTCAATGCTCTCAGAAGGGACTCGGTAAAAGGTAAGACATTTTAAAAAATATTATGTATTTATATGTAGGAGGAAGTGCGGTCTTACAGCAGTGTGACATTTACTTAAAGCAGGTTCGCCATAAAGACTCCGTATATGGCTTATGCTCAACTACATTTTAGCCTGGCTTTTTGCGTATTAGTTTTTCTCAAGTAGACACCCCAAAGTGGGGCTGAAAAACGTCTGTTGTTTTTGAAACGTTTTTATTCAATCTATTTGCGAGGCAATATTAAACCGGTAAGTATCAGACGAATGTTTATCTCCCCTTTTCGCCAGCTGAACGTTCCTCTATTGTATTGTTGCATCGCCATTTGAAATGTTATTGAATGTAATTCTAAATTATTGACGTTTACTGCTACAAACCTCTGGTTTCGCAGTATCACTTCGCATCTTGCATATCATTCGATCTGCTTTAACGCTTTGGTTGCTAAGGAAGATTAATTTAGCGTGTAAAGACCGGATCTGTGTATTTTCGTATGCGCTCGTTTACGTCAAACCTCGTGAAGTATCGCAGTTTAGGGCGCTGCGCGATCAAGCTACTAGAAAAACGTGTCTGTATTCATGTATGTGTTGTGAATTTAAATACAGACATAGTATAGATTTCATTAAAAAAAAAACATGAAACAAAAGGCATGCCTATTTTTCAGTTTAATTGTGTAAAATTTTTATAATTTGCCTGACTTGTTTTGATTTAGGCAAATTACTTTTTTTAACTAAATAAAATCAGATTTGTATATGAACTACAAATTTACAATAATTTGTGTTCAGATGCAATTAACTTAATTAGCGACTAGTCATAGCAATATCACATTGCCAAAATGTAGCGCTGCATTTTTATGTGGAATAACTATCTGGGCATTTTTAAAAAGAGCGAATTTGCATTATCTAAACTGTAAATGTTGCGAAAACCTCTGTTTAAGTGCTTTTAGGAGTCTATTCACGCAGGGTGTGTTATTGTGTTCTGTTTAAGGAATTTTAAATTGTCACGCCGTAAATATTCGCTATAGGAATGTTTTTGGCCTCTTGCTATGCAACAGGATGCTAGATGTTTTGAAAAGCAACATGGCAGCTCAGTGTCATTTTTAAGACAAAGGACTGATCTCATGAATTTGGAGGTTGGGTAAAATATAAACTGTTTACATAACAGTGAATGGCAGTTAAAGTCGGCAAGAAATGAAAATTCATATAAATTTACCTTCAGTTATGCTGAAGTACTAAATTATCTATTTTCTAAATGAAATTAATCTTGTTGTGAACAATTCATCAATGTTTAATTTATTTTTTATTTTTTCTTCCAATGGAGTAGACTTCTCAAGACTTAAGGCTGATTTATACTTATGCGTCGGACCTACGCCGTAGGCTATGCGTCAGTTTTCATTTATACTTCTGCGTCGTTGTCCGCGTCAATGTGCAGTACACATGCAAACCACTAGTCAGCAGTGTCCACGGGCATGTTGCTGGTGTAACCCGCAGTACCACGGCAAAAGCCGAAGAAGAAGCGGCTCGTCGGAGAAGCATTATAGCCGTGACGGTGGCAAATAAATATTAAATCATTAAATCATTATTTAAAACTACAAAAAGGAGACAACAACGGAACAGGAGATGATGGCATTCTTTCAATCTGCACAAGGACTTGTACCACGGCAGATCAACATTGTTTGTTGCGGACAACTACTGATGTATAATGCTATGTAGTATAATAAATGATAAGACACTTGTTCTTTGCTTTGTTTTATTTTATATAAGAAGGTGTAACATTAAAATATATTAAAGTGCACATAAACGCACAAAACTCAAGTACATATGGAGGGAGGGGTTCTTGCAGACCAATCACAGCGCTTGCGGTCTGCATAGAATTGACGCGCTGTTAGATTTTTGGAGAGGTGCACGTCAGGCTACGGCGTATGGGTGTGCGTCTATGCGTAAGCTACGGCGTAGGTTCGACGCAGAAGTATAAATCAGCCTTTATGATAAACTTCTTCAAATCGTTTAGTGCACTTAAACCACACCCCTTTCTTACAATTGACTGTGAACTCTGATTCACACCTGCATTCATTCAGTCAACAATAGATAGAACCGCGTCCCTATCCAACATTTTTTTTCTTTTTCAAAAATATTTTGTTTAAATGTGCGTCACTATATAAAAAATCTGTCGCTACTTCCGTTAAATCGCAAATATAAAAAGCCTTTCAACTCGCTTTGTGTTGCACTCCAGTTTTTATAATGCAGGAGTGCATTGAGTGTGAACGGCTCTTAACATCTGATTATTTTCTAAAAACTAGCTACATTTTCTAGATGTTACATAGGGCTGTGCGATTAATCGAAATCGAATCGAAATCGCGATTTGAGACGTTGCGATTTCCTAATTGCAAAGCCTGCGATGTGGACGCGATATTACTTTGTTCCAGAGCATATGCATGACTGCCAGCCTTGAGTTGCAATCTTACTTGCCCTGGGCAAGAGTGAGCGCACCTCCGTTCTCCCCAATCAGCACTGCTCTAGCCAACTGCGTAAACACCCACCATTAAAAAAAATAA